TACCGCCCTCATTACGACCCCCCTCTCCTGGCGGCCAAATACGACCCCCCCTATGGGGATTCCTCAACCAATGATGTGCCCTGATGGGAAGTAGAGGGAGAAGACAGCTGGATTAGGCGTCGTAAAATTGTGATGTGTGCAACCGCACCATGCCTCACACAAAACTGGACTCCTGAACGCTGGTGGGCGCGCTGCTGGTGGATGGTGGAATCTAGATCGATATCCAATGCTTTCTTATTGTCAGTACCTCGAGATGCTGACGGACGCTGGCACACAAGGGCAGATGCTGCCGTTCAAGATCGATATCTACACTTTCCTAGTCGCTAGCGCTGACGGACGTTGAAACGCTGATGGTCAGTGGTGGACGCTGCCGCAAAGTATGAACACAGTCTCACATAATAGTGTAACGGGTAGGACTTCACCTTTCTAATCTTAACTTGCATAGGAATGCTGATGCCATATTAATCAAAGAGAGCTTAAAGGCAGTTGCGCACGATAAATGGTATACAGGTATTAGGTTGTCCGGAAAGTTCTTAGCGTTTTGGGTGTTTAACTTTAAACGATCATAACTTTCTTAACACTCATCGGATTTAATCCAAATAAGCACCATTCGAATCAGCACACTTTGCCAATGTGGCAGCAGTCGAGAAATCCCATCAAAGAAAAAACTGGGTGGTCGAGAATCCACGAAATCTGCGAAGGTCTTTTTTGCCTGGTCTTAATTGATGAAGTATTTTTCAGCAAGGAAGTTCTGAAAATGTCTGAAAAGGTGACAGTCGGTTGGTGAAAGGTCTAGAGAATATGGTGGGTGAGGTAGAACTTCAACTCCCAATTCGTTCAATTTATGGATAGTGATTTGTGAAACGTGTGGGCGGGCGTTGTCATGCAAAAGAATCGGACCCTTTCTTTTGATAAGTGTTGGCTGCAGCTGACAATATTTTCGGTACATTTGGTCGGTTTGTTCACAGTAGGGTTCTGCTGTGATGGTTTGGCCTGGTGATGAAAAGTTATAGTGGATTACAACAGCCGATGACCACCAAACCTGACCAGAATTTTTTTCGCGAGGGTTCGGCTTTGAAAATTACCTCGGTGGTTCCTCCAAATCCAACCACTGTCCGGAACGTCTCCTGTTATCATACATGATCCATTTTTCATCACAGGTGACAAATCCGTTCAAAAACGGGTCAATTCTTTTGCGCAAAAGCAGTGAAGAAGGAACCTCGAGACGTGCCGATTCTGCCGGTCACTCCGATTGTGGGGCACCCAATTGTCGAGTTTTTTCACCTTCCCAATGCGTTCCAGACCATCTGCAACAGTGGATTTGCCAAGGCCTAGCTCTTCTGCTATCTCTCGAACTGTTTGGGATGGGTCAGCCTCCGAAATCCCCTAAAATCCTCGTCACGATATGCTTGTTAGGTCGACCGCGCCGTAGTGCAGGGCTCACTTCAAGGCTGAATCTCCAGCAGGCGAAATTCGATTGCAAGCCATATGCCGCACAGGTGCTTTCTTTACACTATTGGAGGCGCCCACACCTGCGTTAATTCTTTGTTGAGCTGTTTCGATTGCGGATTGCCCCAATTTATAGCCGAAGAAAAAAATCGTCCGAAGTGCTCTTTTCACATGCTTGAAAAAATCTTGAAAAAAGGGTTTATCAAGCAATGGTGAAACGGCAATTATACCATCAGATAGCGCAAGAAATTCTCTACAGGATGTGCTACTGAGAAGCAAGGCAGAATGAGTTTTTAATCAGCAGTGAATGTACAAAGATTAGGTGCACAAAACGCTAAGAACTTTCCGGACAACCTAATAGATTTGCTACAACTGCTCACTGAATCCGTGACCGACAGGCGCTGCGTGAAGCCTTTTCCAAGGGAGGGTACCTCTATAACGCCCTATTGAGCAACAACTTTACGTCCCAAACGCCTTCCTTGCCCGCCCGCCCACAAACGGACGACCGTTTCTGACGCTCGTATTCATTCATTTGCTGAGCAAATTATGAAGCAAAGGGATTGGTATGAAGCGGCGGTGATGCTGCATGCATATATGGATACACATATGCAGCCGCTCTGCGGTAGCGGTGATTGGTAAGATGCCTACGGGAAACTCGTCCGAAATCGATTTACAAGTCACTGAGAACGAAGGCTTTTTCTTCGCCGGATTTTGACCGTTTCACTCCGTTCTTTCGCCATTTCCCCACTATATAGCTCCCTACTAGCATTTTAGGCGAAGTAGGAAACCATCGTGCCAACTGCCTTTAATGTACTGGTGTCGAGTATGTTGCTGGTTGAGATTCATTTCTAAACAATATTAGATATAAGTACACAAAATGATCACATAACATGTTTATCATTACTCAATCCTCCCTTTGAGACGAAATCCGTGGCGAAAATTATTCGATCTGGCAGTAGCCTGATCATCGGGTTCGGTTGGTCTGCGCGCCAGCAGGTACAGGTAACGGCAGATATACGTGCGAGCGCAACACTTCAGAAATGATCGAGAAAATCTGAAAAGAGTACGTATCAAATGGTTCTGGAAAGTGCTATTGGATGTGACCCATATGGTCAGTCCGTTCAGCCTTAACTAGGCCTGGACAGGTGAAAGGAATAAATAATTGCTTCGAAAGCTACCTGATCATTGTACCTGGAGGTGAAGTGATCGTTAATATTCACGATTTCTGACTTCAGTCGGAAAAGAATTGCCAGGTTACTGCTGAAATAGTTAGCAATAGTAATAGTTTTGTTTCATAAAAAAAAGAAATCGAAAAGTATTCCAACTTACAAAAGATACAAGTAGAAGCGCCCCTGACACCTCATTAGGCACGCAGAAGGGATTCCGTCTCTCTGTCGCGCGTTTGAAGCTTTCGGCAACAAGGCATGCAACACGCCTTTCAGTTTCCCAAAGGTATCATGCTTGTGCTCTTCAAAGGACAGTTACTGCAATAGCCTGGCAGGCAAGACAAACATCTGCGCAAATTGGTCCAGGTCGGACCTCGCGGAGCCAGCGTTACTCTTTACAAAGCGGCTCAATAGCGGCTCAATCCATGTAAACGATCGCCCATACCATTCCCTCTTGACGCATCAGTCACGCCACCATGAACTGTTACCCCCCACCCAGTGCCATGGGCGCCTGTACCTGCGTCAGCTTCCGCCGTGCGCGGAAGTGAAGGCGGCAGGGGGGACCATAGCCATCAGCGACCCACTCGCCAGAAGTTGGACCGATTCTTTGGTGTTGTCTCAGGTTCAACTAGCGACTAGGAAATACCAGTGATCCACTGCAAATTAATGTGACGCGTAAGGAGGTGCGGGCCGGAGTACAGAAAAAGCGGATTCCCGCCAGCCGCAGCGGGCTCAAGACGTCGTCAATTTGGCGGGGGAAAAGACCGTCCTGGCTGGTCCTTTTCTTCCCTGGCTCCAGCGCGCGAGCGTTCACATACCTATCGTTTGTAGGGATTCATAGACTGTACTCTTGCTGGAATCTGCGGCAGAGATGTCGATCACTCAGGTTTATTCATTATTTGCAGGAAACTCACTATATTTCCTCGGTCTTATTACCTGAGACAACGACATTGTCACCTCCTGCCAGTGGGTCCTTGCGTATGACCCCCCCCCCCCCTTCACTTTTGCCACGTCGGGACTCGACGCTGTACACCCATCACTGGGTGTAGTAACCAGTTCGTGGGTGGGTTTTTTATCAAAGTTTCCGAATAACTAACAGGTTCGTATTACACCGAAGTATGAAAAGTGGTGTAAGGGCCTATTGTAGTCATAAGACCGTCTCTTGTAACCCTGAGATATAACACTTGAAGATGGCCGACGTCGCGCTCATGTCGGGGAACGGTTAGGACTCACGAGAGGTGAGCCTGCCGCCGCCCGCGGACGTGCTCTGCGGGGAGTGACCATATAGTTTGGGATGACCTTATAATTACTTTTTCGCACCTCGGCATACTTGCCAGTGGGATACCCCCAGATTAATTGCTTGCACGCTGACTGGTGACCTCTCACTGCCAGGCTCCACACATAGATAGAAACTAACGACGAATAAGTGAGTTATCCTTACATTCTATAAACCACTAACTCTGTGTGTCGGTTTGTCGGTATGTATGTATGTCTGTCCGTCCGCAAAATGTTTCACGGGTTCAAACACGTCAGTGAAGGAGAGTATACGACCGCTAGCCGGTGGCGAACCAGTTGGTGCAGATGTATCAATCCAATGTTTTGATTGTGATAACACCCTGCACTATATAAGAGAACCATGTAGTGCACTCCAAACCATTGCACGAGCTGCTCGCGTGGCAGGTGGACGTGAGCACGTGCAGCGGCCGGGATGGGGAGTGGGTGGGGCAAGTGGGAGTGGGGAGGGTATAATGTGGGTGGATGGGATTAGTGAGGGAAAGTACGGAGAGGGGAAGCATAGAGTGCTTTAGTAGAAACTCATCACAAGTGTGGTAATAAAAGCGCCAATGAAAGCGATAAGGTGAATAGAGGAAGGATCAACCGCTAGCAGAGTCGCGAATAAAATCCATGTTTGTGGTATCACTTTCTCGAGGCAATTGCAGGAATTGTTTACAACCTCACTATATAAAAAGAATCATGTAGTGCACTATAAGTGAGCTACTCGCATGAACATATTGGTCAAAGATTGTTGACTATCTGTATAAAAGAAAAGCCGGTGAGGAGAAAGGTAAGTGCGGCGGAGCGGTCACGCCCTCAGCACCATTTCATTATACTTAGTAGAAGGCGTGCATTTTTAGCCGGCTTGGTAGATGTATAAAATTAGAAATTCTACAAGGGGTAAGTGTATGTATATGTATAGGCGAATGGAGACAAAATGCCTCGACGAGTGGTACTTGATTTTGTAAAATCAGCTATTAAAGCTGCACGCAAAACCTTCCCAGCTGCAGCTGTGGAAGGCTGCGCATTTCACATAGCGAGATCGTCGGAATCGCCAGAGAACTCATAGTCGGTTTTGACAACGGTACACGGACAAGGAAGTAGAATGTGATGCTAGAGTCGCAGAATGGTGGGATACTGTGAAAGGTAAACTTATAAAATTCAGTGCCCTGAAGGGATCTTATAGTAATAGTCTTTTGTTCTAGGCATAGTTTTCCTTCCTACGCCGCTACTCCCCACAGTGAGAGCACTACGTGGTCCTCCTGTCCCAGCTGCGACACAGTTGCTTTTTGAGAAAAGTGCAAAAACATTTTAAGAAGTACATCACACACGACCTGGATGCAGGGGCCCTTCAAAAATATGTGGTGTAAATGGAAAGTGGAAGAATTGCGGACCACGAATTTGGCAGAGGCCTTCCATAGGTTGTAAAATGGAAATTAGAAGTGCGTTCACTCATCCATTTGTCGTATGTAAAAATTGTTGGTTTACAAGCGGGCGTTTGGGACTTCAGCGATAATGGAAGGAGTAGTGAATTCACTCCAATCAGAATTATTTACAAGTACAACAACACAATGGCTAGCAAAGTTTGCAATTACAACAAAGTGTTGAAAGATCTCGACAACGAAAAATTGAACAGATACTCAACAACGATTGTATATGTACTACAAATACAGTGCAAGATTATGTGGATAAAGATTACGGGCACGTTATCACAGGAAATGTGAATCTTATAAAAGAAGAGAGTTTCAGACGATTGCTGAGTAAAGGGACCAAATACAGATCAGACACAGGTATAACAAGACAAGAAGTTAAATGCCGTGTTCGAAGATACACTCATCAAAGTCATGAATTATTTTAAATATAAATACAAGGCTAGCAATCACAAGATTAATCTATTACAGAAACATTTTCGTTCATGTTACCATGACAAAGTAAAACCTTTACTGACAAAGGCTAATATTGAAAATATAGGAGAACACATTCCTCACAGCCTAATCAACCAATATCAAGAAAAATATGTATTCTGTCCTCTAGACAAAGCAAATAATAATTATGGCATCATCTGCAAGAAGTTCTACCTTTTGAACATAATGCATGAAATGGGCATTTCTTATGATGCTGCCAACCATACATATGTCTAGAGGATATAACAGTAATAACACATATATGAATTAATGCCTCATACTAACAAGTATTCTTTAATATTGAAGCACAAATTCCTTTGTGTAAAGAATAATATCAATATATCCATTGATGCAGAAATACCTACTATATATGCCTTACCAAAGCTACATAAGAATCCAGTCAAGTTCAGATACATTACAGGTGCACATAGCAGTAGTGTCAAGCCTTTGGCCCAGGAACTACGTATATGGTTTTCACACATCTCAAAAATCACTTTATTAACTACGCTAAAGTAATACAGAATCGCAACAGGACTATCAAGACATACTGGTCTATTAGTAATATTAATATAAGTCACGAACTACACAGCATCACATTCGACAATCTCAAAATTTACACTGCGGATTTTACGGACATGTTCACAAATTTAGAACATGATCTCATTATAAAGAAAATGCAAGAACTTCTTAACATTTGCTTCAAAAATGCCAACAGATCCTTTATTGCCACTAATGGTTACCATGTTTTCTACACAGATGGTAAAGAAATTAAAAACAACTACAGATATTACAAATCCAGCGATTTAGTATACCTTATCGACTATCTTTTACGAAACAGTTTTTGTCTTTTTGCTAATAATACGTTCAAACAAACTAAAGGTGTCCCACAAGGTGGCAATTTTAGTCCACTACTGGCAGATCTTACGCTTTCTGTCATGGAGTACTACTATGCTAAATCCAGGAAGTTTAACAACAGTAAGCTGTTCATTCCATATAGATACATGGATGACTTGCTTGTTGTCACCATACCCAAACTGATGGTGAACGTGGATTGAACAACTTTTTCTCAAGGTTTATCAAAATTACGCTCTCAGACTTGAAAAAAACTCATAACACAGTGAAGTTTTCAGCCACACTTATTTAGACTTTAGAATTCAATATTATAACGGTAAATGAATTACAAAACTCCTATTAAACACAAACGGCCCCACCACTCGCACTCTCCACACTCTCACACTGCATCCACTCTCACGCACTTCCCACCCACCTGACAACCACCCTTCTCCCCCCTCTCGTTAAACAAATCTCTCGCTCCTCATACTCACTACGCGCACACGTCTTACCAACGACTTAGCCAACCCACCCCCCTTCGCTCTCCCCTCTCTCCACACTCGCTCACTCTCCTTCACACCGACACACATACGCGCTCATCCGCGCTCCCACGCACTCTCCAACAACACTCGCGCTCACACACGCAGCGCACCTCTCTCCCCATCTCTCTCACCCGCTCTCGCTCGACCCCCCAACTGTACTCTACAAAACATACCACATTATAATACCCCACAGCTCTCACACCTACTCTCACTCTCCACACTCACCCTCTCTAACCACAGCCTCAAGCTCAGCGCCCTGGTTCACCGACCCGCGCCTCCATCTCTCCCACCCTTCGCGCCACGCGCGCTCGTCTCCACACCCCGCTCCGGGCAGGACATCTAGCCTCCTATTTACCACTTACAAACATTTTTGATTTAACCTTTGTAATCAGCTTGAGAAGCTGCTCTTTACCCTCATTTACCTTCTAGTTCTGCTTAGCCCCATCTACAACAATCCATTTTTCTTCCTCTTACACCAATCTTGTACTCACACCGGTTATTTCCTTCTTTCATTTACCTTGCACAGTTCTTCTCATCTTTTTGCCATTGGAATTTGCATGTCAACTTTTTTGCATTTTTTCTCGCTATATCCTTTTCTTAACTCCTTCCCCTATGTAGTCCATGTCCATGTCTCAACTCTATCGTACTGAGGAGCCCGGGGGTTGGTAAGACATCGATGATTCGTCTACGATAACGGGCGAAACGGATCATCTGTGATGTTGAGTGTATTCCTTTCCCCAATATTTGTTTTTCTTTGTTTCTTAATTGATAGGTTCTCTGCAATATTTTGCATTTGTCTCCATTCGCTATTATATACATACACTTACCCCTTTGGAAATTTCTATTTTATACATCTATACACTTATTTCTCGTTATTCTATCTTGTGTGATTAGAAGTAAAGAAAAACAAACAAGGGAAAGGAATACACTCCACAACACCGATGATGCCTGGCAGTGAAGGGTCACCAGTCAGCGTGCAAGCAATTAATGTGGGGGATCCCACTGGCAAGTATGACCGATAGTGCGAAAAAGTTATTAGAGGTCAGCCTGCCGCCGCCGCGGAGGTGCTCTCCGCGATGCTTTCGCTATGTATTTTTTGCATTTGCATAGTTCATGAGATTTCCAACCGTCTGCTTTATACTTGCAGGTGTGAAGGCTATGAAAGGAATGGGCCCGATATTCAACTACTAGTATAAAACAACGCCCATTAACATAGAAATAATATTTAGAGAATACATCAGCAATCTACGAAAATTCTTTTCAGGGTGAATCCTTCTTTTGGCCTCAATTGTAAGATATTGTAAGGTTTAAGATTCTCGGCCAGACGGTAAAAGTAGGTCCTATTGAAGAAATACAGCAACCCGTCGAATAAGTACAGCTGCCATTCAAAAATACTGTCGTCCCATTGAATATTCTGGTTTGGAAAAATCCCAAGCAGATTCGCGTGATGCCAGAACTATGTGAAGGGACCGGGATCTTAATCGCACGACCATGTTGCTCTCGTAAAATCAGTTGCAATCGCGAGGCGGGACATGGCAGCCGTGACCTCTCGTGGAGTCCTAACCTACACCCGTCTTTACATATACGTATGGAGTCCACTTGAAACGTGGCAGTAGAGCGCAGCGGATAGCGAGTTGGTTTACTAGGCGAGACGCTGTAGGATCGGTTCTCGGCAGGGCGTTTTTTTTGCATTTGTCCAAGAACATGGCCGACAAAGCTTCTAACACCTCTGCTCACCTGCACTATCCTGTAAGGAAACTGCGACCAGTTTTTTTCGAAAGTGTAGACCCATTGTGGCCTGAAAGAGTGCTTGTGCTTGCCCCCCCCCTGTAGTACATGTTG